CACAAGTGATGAGTTTTAGCCAAAATGTGTCAATTTTCGTTGCAGGGGAGAAGATAAGGTTGACAATGTTCAGCTTTTAATTATCTTAACTAGGTAGTCGAATTTCTACATTTTATTATTTAATGCATTATTAGATGCGAACTACTAATGGTTGAGGGGAGCCATACTTTCCCAACATGTGAAGCAAATCCCACCTTTTTGTCCTGAAATGGATTAATATGTGCAGACTGAGTATATTCTACAAGAGAAAAAGTACCAATTGCAGGTACAATATTTCTACATTTTATTATTTAATGCGTTATTAGATGTGAACTACTGATGGCCGAGGGGACCCACACTCTGCCAACATGTGAAGCAAATCCCACCTTTTTGTCTTGAAATGGATTGATATGTGCAGACTTAGTATATTCTACAAGAGAAAAAGGACCAATTGCAGGCACAGTACAATTATATAGATGCTAACTAAAATTGTGTTTTCATCCCCTAAATTTTCACTTGACATTTTTTTCTTCCTTTCGCCAGTTTCCACCAACTGTTTGATGCTTTTTGCCAACCCACCAGGGCCTACCCGTGCCAACCCCATACTCGAAATAGTACTCTCCTTCGACGGTCTTCCCCTTCCGTATGCCTCTAGCCAAATTTTTGCTTCTGCTCCTTTAATTGAGTTGATGATTTCTGCTGCTGTTCTGTTGGTATAGGATTTCTGCTAACTAAAATTTTGTGTTTTTATCCCCCAAATTTCCACTTCACAGTTTTTTCTTCCATTTGCTAGTTTCCACCAAGTGTTTAATGCTTTTTGCTAGCCCACTAGGGCCTACCGTGCGAACCCTTACCCCAAATTGTACTCTCCTTTTACGGTCTTTCCCTCCCGTATGTCTCTAGCAAAATTTTCGCCTCTGCACATTTAATTGAATTGATGATTTCTGCTGCTGTTCTATTGTTATAGGATTCCCATATCTCATCTGTTTGGATACAGAGGAGACTAATTCCACTGTATATGGAGGGCCCTTAGATTTCTCAAAATCATGAGATGGGATTCCTAGCTTGGTTTTTGGGTTCTTTAGGTAAGTTCTCAAGAATTCCTCTCAAAATTGGAGCTGTCCCAATATAACTCTTGAATAGAAAGGTAGAAAAAAAAAGAATGCCAACAAGTACAATCAACTATGAGATAAACTCAGTAAGTAAATATGGAGTGCCCTTTATCAAACTTAAAGAATGCCAACAAGTACAATCAACTATGAGATAAACTCAGTAAGTAAATATGGAGTGCCCTTTATCAAACTTAAAGAATGCCAACAAGTACAATCACGAAAAACGGATACAGTACAGGAACGAAATAGACGTCTCCTCTATAGGTCACGGCCACTGTATAATCCCCACTAGCAGGGCCACTATTTGCTGGTGTATAACCCCCACTAGCAGGGTCACTATTTGCTGGTGTATAACCCCCACTAGCTGGGTTGAACGAACCGGCTCTATCACTACATGTCGACATGTGCTAGCGTTTATAACCTCCCCCACTAGCGGAGTCACGAATAACATGACCACATCGGAGACAAAACAGGCAAAAGTTAACAGAACAATCATAATTCACCAATCACTTTCAAATCATCAGGACAATCAATTAAACTTTCAAGTAGGCATGCTCAATTTAATGAAAAGCATAAACATTTCACTTCAAATCAGTCATGCTCGTGTAAAACGAGTTTAGTCCCGCCACCACTTCAAAAACAAATCAAAACATGCTTTTAAAAATAGTACGGGCATTACCATAAATTTACTTACCTCACTCGCATAAAACCAAGCACTCAATTCACGTACTAACTGACAGAACAATCGAGAACTTAATCAAAATATTCTGAGAATCAATACCGTACTATCACAATTTCAACTGAAATCGTCGTTACGATCACTCTTAATCACAATACTATTTCTATCAATCTCCACATAATCAAATATCTCCAAATTCGTTCTTATATCACAAACTAATCATTTAAATCCCCGTTAATTATTGGCCCTCGGTGTGTGAACAGTGTCGATGAACAGTTCCCTGAACAGTACCCCGACGTGAACAGTAACTGCACTTCCAAAATGGCCAAAACCATAGCCTATTCTCACGGGATTTTCTCTCCAAAAATCACAGCAATCAATTAACACTCAATCACATAAATTCCACTTGAATCAATGCTCAAATTTCATCCTAAAGCTACCGGAATTATCCCCCATTTTTAGCCAAATTCGGACATCACAAGGCAGCAAACTAATCAAGCTAATTCTACCTTAATCAAGCTTAAAACAATGGTTTAAGGCTGCCACATACCAGAATCCAACAAGCAAGGCCGGAGCTGCAATTTGGGGAAGAGCCGGCGGCATGGAAGGAAAACTCTGCAGGGGACTCACGGTTTAACCCAAAATTAAAGGAGCCCAACTTAAATCAAAGCTAAAGAAGGGAGAATTCGAGCTATTTCTTACCAAAAAACCGAGCAATTCACCCCCACAAAGCAGGAGCAGCCGGCGGTGAGGAGGAGGAAGCAGCAGCAGATCCGGATTTTCCAGCAGGGAGGGAGAATTTCTGGGTTCCATTTTCAGTTCTAGAGCAAGAAAAGAAGGGAAAAATCAAGCTCTCTACCGGTTTCTCAAGCATGGCTGGGTTCCCCTTTTTTTTCTTCTTTCGGGCTGCAGCAAGGAGGGTCGGGAAGAGCAGAACACGCGGGCTGGGAAGAAGAAAAGAAAGAAAGAAAAAGAGAAAACCAAAACTCTTCCTCCTTAAGTCCCTCAAGTTTGGACACTTTGGCTATTCAGCCCAAAACAATATTTCTTTCTCAAACCAGTCCCTAACTCTCTTGAAATTATTAATTTTTTTACTCTATTAAAATTTATAATATTATATGTATATATTTATTTAATAACATATAAAAATTCTATACAAAAATTATCTCTATATTATTTCCATTTATTTTTAATTTTTTTAGCTAAGTTCATTAAAAAAAAAAACCAATTTTCATGGCATCTCTAATCTCATTCTCATCTAAACATGCTATATATATGTTTAATTATGTATATTTTTTAAAATCGGTTTTAGAATATAAGTACGAGTGGCCGGAATTGGTTGGAAAGAAATGATCAGAAGCCAAACTAACAATTCAAAAGGACAATCCATACATGTCCTGCAAAATCATTTGTCACGTCCCAAAACCCAAATCTGGGAACGTGGCAGTCGCTGTGCACTTGAGAGAAGGTCTCACAAATGCACAAGTCTCAAAACTTATCATACCACAATCTGATATCACAAAATCTGAAGATAAAATTTTAAAATTTGCCCTGATATCATAAAATCTCCAAATAAAGTTTAGCTTACAAGATCATGATTTATATCTAAAATCCATATTCAATTTACAAGATGGCTAGCCTTCTAACTTGTCACTCCCCTTGTTTTTCCCCGTCCTTGATTTCGCTTCCTGAAATGGTGGACAAGGAAAAACTATGAGAGAACTCAGTAAGTAAATATGGATAGCTCTTGGGTAAAATTTTAGTATGCCTGATAAACAGTTTAATATAACAAAACGTTCAATGATAAATCGTTAATACAAAATCAAATTCAGTTCAATAACAAAGCGTTCAATGACAAACCGTTAATGTAGAATCAGATTCAGTTCAATAGCAAAGCGTTCAATGACAAATCGTTAATGTAGAAGAAAATTCAGTAGTAGTCTCATCTATAAGTCATGGCCAGTGTTTAACAAACTCCCACTGACAGGCGTCAGTAATTACCAATGTATTATCCCATTGGCAGGATTACAGAATGGACCGGTCATATCAGTAAACATGTCGACATGTGCCAGCGTTTGCAAACTCCCACTGGCAAGCGTCAGTAATCATGACTATATCAGAGACAAAACCATGCAGGATTTACAGAAAAATCCGTTATTCACAATCAATCTCAAATTTAAAAAATAAACCGAAAAATTTCCATGTGAACATGAATTTAACAGAAAAACTCAGAATTTACAAAATTCTTAGTTCATCAAGGCAGTTCAGTCAATTCCAAATAGGCATGCTCTACTCAATGCAAATGAAAACAATTTCATTTCAAACCACTCATGCTCGGTGCAAATAAAATCAATTTAAAATCAATTTAAACCTTGCTACCATCTCAAAAATAATTTAAAATATGCTTTAAAATCGAAGGGCATTACCATAATTTTACTTACCTTACTCGCACATAACAGAAGGCTTAACCTAAGTGCTACAGTGACAGAACGATCAAAACCTAATCACAATATTCCAAAGTTAATACCGCACTACCACAAATTCAAAGTGAAATCATCATTAGGACCCCTAATCACGATGCTATTCCTATCAGTTTCCACATGACCGGACATCTCCAATTTGTTCTTATATTACAAACCAAACATTTAAATCCCCGTTAATTGTTGGCCATTAGTGCATGAACAGTACCCGTGAACAGTGATCACGTAGTGAACAGTGAGTGCAACCTCTAGAAATTTGGGCAAAACAATAGCTAATTTTCTCTCCAGAACATCACAACAGCCTACTTAAACTAATTCCTACATGGATTAAGCTAAATCATAATCTAATTACTGTCAAATTTCTCCCCTATTTCCAGCAGAAAATTCAGACACACAAGCAGTAATTACATGGATAATTTTAGGCTCAAAGGGGCTGTCACATACCGAAATTTAGTAAGCAAGGCCGGAGCTGGCGGGTTGGGGGAAGGCCGGTGGAAGTGCAGGGGAAACTCACGGATCTACCTCAAAATTGGAGAACCAAAAGCACAAATTAGAGTAAACCCAAGGCAAATCAAAGCTAAAGAGATGATTTCATGGTGGTTCCTTTACCAAAAACTGAAAAATCCCCACCCTCACCAAGTTGAAACCGGCAGCAGGGGAGAAGAAAGGTTGCAAGATCTGAAATTTTCTTGGCTTTAGGGGGGGTTCTAGGTTCTAAGCTTGTTCTTGAACAAGAAAGAAGGAAAAAAAATCAAGCTTTACCATTTCTTCTCCTCAAGAGGGTGTGTCGGCAACTTCGGGGAGGCTGCAGGGGACGGGAAAGAAAAAGATGAGCAGAACCCGAAAAGTGGCTAGAAGAAAAAAGAAGAAAATCAGCTTGATCCTTATCCTAAATTTTTCCCCTTTTAAGTCCCTAAACTTTGGAGTTTTTAGCTATTAGGCCCCAAAACAATATTTCTCCCAAAATAAGTCCCTTAACTTAATTGATAAAATTCTCAAAAATTTGGGATATTACATCATTGATGATAACATAAAGGGGTTCCATGATTTCTGCTGTAATCGTGTTTACCTTTACGTTGACAGTACATGTGATACCCCAAAATTTCTAGAATAAATAAGTGTGAGTTAGGGACTTGATTGTGAGGAAATGTTGTTTTGGGGCTTAATGGAAAAATTTTTTAAAGTTGAGGGGCTTAAAAGAGTAAAGATATTGGATAAGGAT